CTTTTAAGACCCCAGGTACTCCACATAGAAGTACAAAATAGAAAGAGAAAAACTTAACACATTATTAGGTCAATTAATTGTGATATTGTCCCATGAAACCATGATCCCAATGACCAAATAACTGAGCTGTATTTTCATTGAGCGTCTGATGTATACTTATGAAAGTAGCATATTGGTTGGTTCGTTGGTTGTGTGCCACCCAGTTAATTCCAACTCATGTAGGTTCAAAACAACCTTGTAGTCCAGTGCATGAACCCACAGTGTTTACGGAAGCATGTTTCTCCCACAAAACTACTGGCAGATTTGAATTACTGACCTTGTGGTTAGCAACCCAGCTCAGAATCCGCTACATTACCAGAACTCCATAGGTACTGCATAGAAGAAATACCTAAGCCTTGTTGCTGTTGCTAAACGCTGTTGAGTCTCGGTTCTAACTCACAGCAGCCCTGTATAGGGTTTCTGAGGAACAGTGGGGGAGAAGGGTTGAACTACAGACCTTAAAGTAAGCAGTCCAGTGCTTCTCCTACAGCGTCACACCAGGATAAACCAAACCCACTGCCATCAAGTCAATTCCACCTCGTAGCAACCCTCTAAAACGGAGCAGATTTGCCCTATCAATCTTTAGGGCAACAGACTACCACATCTTCCTCCTTCAAGCAGTTGGCAGATGTTTAAACCACAGAGCTTTCTTTCAGTTAGCAACCAAGCACTTAACCAATGCACCACCAAAGATCCTAACTAAGTTTCTGTTATTGTTGTATGAGTCACTTCCAACTCTTAGGGACCCTAGATAGGGTTTCTGAGGAGTGACGGATGGGTCTGAACCACCAACCGTGCAGTTAGCAGTCCAGTGCTTATCCCACAGAGCCGCATCAAGACTCCTTAGGAGCTAGGTAATCATGGATTACAAATCAGGCTCCACTATTAGTTAAATTACTTAACCTCTCTGGGCATAAATGTCTTCAAGTAGAAATCAGAGATGATACCAACAAGAAACTACTATAAGAAAGTTTAGGTAATTAAAATCAATTCCCAGCCCCTATTACTTTTCCTTTCATTTATTCCTTTGGGGTTCACAAAGCAATTTAATTTAACAACTATTTACAAAGCAAAGAGCTCTGGTAGTGTAGTGCAACTGCAAAGTCACCAGTCGAAATCCACCGGCAGATCCCCAGCAAAACGATGTTTTGTGCTCCTATAAAGATTTACAGCCTCAGAAATGCTACTATATAAGGTCCACTATGAGTTGGAACCAACTTGATGTCACACAACCACCACCACCACTGTCATTTACAAAGCACCTACTATTGTGTAGGACTCCTGGTGTGGAACTGTAGGATAACAGTGGACAGTGAACCATAAGGTTGGCATTTCAAACCCACCGCTGTTCCTCGGAAACCCTATACAGGGTTGCTGTGAATTGGAACCAATTCAATGGCAATTAACAACAAGAACAATGTGTAAGTCTTACTTACGGAACACTGTAGGAGAGAAACAGGTTACACTGCTGTCCTCATGGAGATTACAATAGTAGCAGGGTAAACACAGGAGAGATCTAGACAGGATGTTTAATCTTAAAAAATTCCACATAGTCCCTCATCACTATAAAATTGTATCTTAGAATATAAGAACATAAAATGAGGAAGGAAGACGGAAGAGAGGGAAGGAGGGTGGAAAGGAGAGCTCCAGTCAATGAAATACACTGCTTCATGAGTGCAGCTTATTTACAAAAAGTACCTCAAGTACTTCTCGCTGTTGCGAGGAAGCAGGAGAAGGTAAGTAGGACAAGGAAGGAAACGATTCTCTTATGGCTATACTTTTTTTAACTCAAAAATGAGAGTACAGTTTTAAAGGTGTGCTTTAAAAAGAATTGCTTGCTTTATGCTAGCAAGAAACTCTGAGTCAAGGACCGGCAAACTAAGGCCCACAGCTTGTTCTTGTACTCCTGCAAGCCAGGCTGTTTACAGTTTTAAAGAATTGCAAAAAAAAAAAAAACAAACAAAAACAAATACAGGACTGAGTATGTAGTTACGAATTGGGCTGCAAACCACAAGGTCAGCAGTTCGAAAATACCAGCTGTCCCACGGGAGGAAGATGAGGCTTTCTGCTCCCGTAAAGATTTACAGTACAGGGTCGCTATGAGTCGGAACCGACTCCACGGCACATAACAACAACAACATGTGACTTGCATAGAAGCCTAGTGTCACAGTGGTTAAAGTGCTTGGCTGCTATCTGAAAGGTCAGCTGTTTGAACCTACCAGCCACTCCTCCGGAGACAGGCTTGGCTATCTGCAACAGTAAAAATTAGTCTTGGAAACCCTGCAGGGCAATTCTAGTCTGCTCTGAAATCGGAATTGACTCGACAGCCGTGGGTTTCGGGTTTTGGTTTCTGTGGCCTGCAAAGCATAAAGTATTTACTATCTGTCCTTTACAGGAAAAAAGAAATTCTGACCCTTGCTATACTTCAAAAACCTCACAGCTAACCAAATTGAAAGTTTAAGTTTCTCATGAAATACCTCTATATTTCCAAATTTACATTTGTTGTTCTTGTTATGTGCCATTGAGTCAGTTCCTGCTCAGTCACCTTGAATTAGGTTTCCAAAGAGGAGCTGGCGGGTTTGAACTGCCAACCATGCAGTCTGCAGTCCAGTAAGCTACAGTGCCACACCAGAACTCCAAATATAAGGCAAATGTTATGATCTTTCTCTACAACCCTTCTCTTCCTTGCCACTTCATTCATATAGAAGTAAACAAATACTTATTACAATAGAAGCTGACCACATCTAACTTTTTTTAATAACAAGCAATCTACCACAAGCACTTTTTAAACAAGTTTTAAGTTCCTCAATGGACAACTAAATTAGTAAATTGGGCCTGTGCTGACCAGAACTCATGACTTATGTCAACTTCTCCATCTGCATACATCCTGCACTGGGGGGTGGAGGAGGGGTGCTAAATAGGCTGAAATAGGCTGGAAGCCCTGCAGCCTGTTTTTGTAATAGGCTGGAATAATATTCACTTAACTTCAACAAGGTCAGTTTGAACCACAAGGTCGGCAGCTCAAACTCAACAGTTGCTCTTAGGAAACCCTATACAGGGTCGCTGTGAGTCGGATTCAACTCTACAGCACTTAACAACAGCAACAACTTTAATAAGGATGAAACAGGTCTGAGATGGTAGCTTAGAATTAAATTCAATAAATGTGTGGAGTTATTTGTGGATCTGACAGTAAGTTCTTCACTTAATTCATACCACATGAAGTAAAAAAAAAGTTTAGTGACACATTGAAGACTTTCAGAAATAAGAATAAAGTGACAAAGAGAACAACACCCTATACTCGAAACATGGAGGATTTAAAAGGCTGCAATCTAACACTACATAAGCATTCAGAAAATCTGGAAAGTAGTATGAACCTGCTGAACTAAAACATCAGAAAGAATCATGTTTTCATCTCAGCACAGCCAATATTATGTGACATGAAACACAGAGAACATTAAAACCATCTATGACAAACAACACAAATAAATAAAACCCCTCCATACACGAGAACCAAGAAGCTAGAAGCCCACTTCCCATGAACTATTAGAACTTGAGAGCACTTTGACCCAAAGCCTCTAAATTCATCCTAAATAATTTGACACACTGCAGAAAGAAAAAAATCAAAATTCAATAAACATACTTTAAAGAGATGAAAGAGTTAAGACATAATGAGAGACCTTATTTGAGCTACCTTGTAGAATAAGCGTGTCATTTATTTACAGAGACAGAAGAGTTTGATAAGTTTCTTAAGGAGAAGTTACTAATCAATACAATTTTGATACATTGCATCCATATAACTGATAGAGATAAGTAGTTAGGAATGCAATTTTTTTTTTTTTTTTCTATTACAGGGGAACCTTTTTAGCTTTTGTAATACTGGGTCCTGATGTGGCGCTGTGGTTTAATGCGCTGGACAGCAAAGTTGGTTTGAATCGCGCAAGTTCAAGCTCACCAGCGGCTCCTCAGAAACCCTACATAGGGCCACTGTGGGTAGAAACCGACTAGACGGCACTTTAACAACAATTAAGGGTCAGGTCCGTTAATAAATAAAATGCAGACTCCAGTTAAAAGGATGGGTGGGGGGTTACGAAAGAAGTCGGAATCTGCTGTTTGGCAAGCTCAGTCAACCCATCTTTCTGATGATAATGGTTCTAACCAGACCTTGTGGTTTAATCAGTGCACATCTCAGTACCAGCAATGGAGATATGTACCAGCAATGGATCACATCCAATGTTTAGGAGGTTAATAAAATACTTGAGCCAGCGCTAAATGTGGAGGAAACTTCCTTCCTGGCCCCATTGCAAACACCTTGCATCCCTATTCCTCTTACTGTTACATCTCAATGGGAAAAAAAAAAAAAAGAATAAAAACCACTAAACACTCACCCAGAGCAGTTTGCCTGAGGAGCTGTCCTGATCCTAAATCTCAATCAGAGACCACAAATGTAATTCCCTGGCCAGATCTAGACTCCTCAACCAGTCAGCAGCCCTAGCCGGCAAATCGAACACTCTTCCGCCCTCACTCCTGCCTATCTCCCGGGGACAATTTTGTGACCCACATCCCAGTGCCCAGAGTCCCAAACTCCACAGTCCCCATAATACTTCCTCCACCCCAGTAGTTTTCCCAGTTAACCTTCACCCCAGCCCCCACCCATCTTTGTCTCATTACCCTTTAATACACACCTCAATGTTCCCCCACTACCAACCACAGCCCTTCCCCCTGGTTGCCGACCCCCTATCTTCCCGGTTTCTTCTTGGTCTCATCCCCACCCCCATGTCCCCCCACTCCCCGGTCCTTGCAGCTCTAGGCCCCCCTCCGGGGCCGTCACCCCAGTTCCTAGCCTCCCCCAGCCTCTCGTGACCCGTCCCCTCCCCCAGCTTCCTCTGTCCTTTCCTTCCCCTCCCTCCAGCCCCTCCGCCCACGCCCACCCTTGCTCCCGCGGGTCCTCCCGGGCCTTTCACCTTGTCCATGAGCTTCCAGCACTTCTCCACCATCTTCTTGTCCACGGTCCCCGGCGGATGGGGGCTGAGGTGGTGGTGGTGGTGGTGCGGCTGGAAGGCGTCCTTCATGAGCCCGATCAGGCCGCCCGAGCCCGAGCCCCCGGAGCCGCCGCTGCCCCCGGCCCCAGAGCTCTTTTTCACGTTGCCGGCCATGGCCCGGAGAAGGTAGGGGGCCCAGCCGGGTGTGCCGGCTCGGCTCGGATGCGAGCGAGGGAAAGAAGGGCGTGAAGGAGGGGCCTCTCTCGGCCGCCGCCGCCGCAGCCGCCGGCTATCCGGGCGGAGGGAGGAGAGGCCGCGGGGAGGGGAGTGGGCGGTGCCGGGCGACGCGGATCCGCGCAAGGCGCGCCCCCTCAGAGCGCGAGCCCGAGGACGGGAGGCGCGCGCCAGAGACAGACCAGCGAAGGTGCAGGAAGCAGCGTCCGTCGAACTGGGTAGCCAACCCCACTTGTGCGCCAGCCCCCCAGCCGGGGGCGTGTCCACAGCTCCCGGAAAGCCGCGGCAAAGTTTCCGCGCCCGCCGCTCCGCCCCTATTGGGAGCGGGGAGGGGCGGGGCCAAACGGAAATTTGAGTGCGGGCGTCTGTGTGCGCCCTCTGCCGGAGACGGGAAGAGGTAGAGGGTGGTGTCTAACGTAGAGTCTGCGCACTAGGCGACAGCCGAGACCTCCGCGAAATGTGTGGGCTGGAAGTTTGTGCTTCTTGAGTGGGTCGCTTTATCGTTTAATACAAGTAGCGAGAGAAATAATTTTAGCGTCAAACCCTGCTTCACGGTTGACAAAAGAGGAAACAGGTTACAGTTATTTGCTTCTTCACATTGTAGGAGAATGGGGGGGGAGGGGGGAGAGAGGGGAACCTGCGGGAGAGGGAAGGAAGTTATTTCTCCACCCTGGTCTTTTAAACTGTTCATCAAGACCCGACCTAGGACAGGAACGTGGAAGTTGCAGATTGTGCGATTCGAGCCTGAGTAGATCCCAGAAATGCTTCAAACGTCTTAATCTTGATCTCTTCTTCCAGCCTCTTGTCCTCTTGAAAACAAAGCACTTCCTTTTTTTTTCCTCCTGAATACTAGTTCCTTTTCTGGGAATTATGTATCTATTTAAGATTCCCCTATTCAGCACATTGCACCGCCTGCACTAAGGTCTTGCTCATGGAAACTTAGACCACGACGGCCTAACCTAAGGAGTTCTCACTCCACCCTGGAACCGAAATGCAGTCCCTAGTCACTTCCACTTCTCTAATTTAAAAGTTCTGTTGGGATAACATAAAAAATAAAAAAAAGGAACCTCCTTTCCAAAGAAGGAAGTGCTCTGCCCTAGTTTGTTAATTCTGAGCCTCAGCTTTGGCTTGTCCGCCCTGATGTGAATAAATTACCATTAGCCACCCACCCCCTTTCATAAAATTCTTCACTGATTAGGGAATTAGAGTTTATCAGGTACTCCTTGTTTCCCACCCCCACTGCCCGTGGTTTAAGACTGAGTTGCTCCATAGAGTTTCCAAGGTTGTAAATCTTTACAGAAACATCCTTCTCCCAAGAAATGATTGGTGGGTTTGAACCCAAGACCTTTGGTTAGAGCTGAGTGCTAAACCACTGTGGTGACTACTCTAGGTTCTCTTTTGTTGTTGTTAAGTGCCGTGGAGTTGGTTCCAAACCATAGCAACCCTGTATAGGGTTTCCGAGGAGCAGCTGGTGAGCTTGAACTGCCAACCTTGCAGTTGAAACAGCTTTGCTGTCTGGCGCATTAACCCACAGTGCCACACCAAGAACTCCGTAGGTTCTCTTTTGAGAGAGTAAAATATCTCTGGGCCCAAGGACACTTTAGCCAGGTAGCCTGATTTTGGAGTTCAGGTGCCTTTCTTCACCTAAAATGATTTTGGTGTCAGCATTATTTCCTGTCAGTAGAATTTCCTTACCTAGAAATAAAAGAACCTACCAAAGGAAAATCTAAGGAGCTCTGAAACAAAGTATAGTGGTTACGAATCGGGCTGCGAGCCGCAAGGTCAGCAGTTCGAAACTACCAGCTGTTCCGCGGGGAAAGATGAGGCTTTCTGCTCCCGTAAAGATTTACAGCCTGGGAAACCCTGTACAGGGTCGCTATGAGTCGGAACCAACTGCACGGCACATAACAACAACCAAAGGGAAATCTAGGCAGAATGCCTGGATAACTGTCAAAACTTCCCGGAGCCCTAATACTGTTACTCTAATGCGGGCCCTTCCTTTTCTCTCCTCTGGACTGTGGAAACCTTTTTCTTCACCCCCAATCCATATTGGCATTAGACTATGCTTCCTATAATTCTGACAACATCACAAAAGCTTTAAACACATCCATTGCCTCTGGCATAAAGTTAGCAGTCATGATAATTTTTATACTACCCCCAGTATGTGTGTTTTATGCATGTATCCTATTATGGGTGATTCACCAAGTCACAAAATACCATAATTCTTTCTTTTTTTAACCACCATTTCTCAGAGCATCCCCTCTGCCCCAAGTACACTCCTAAAATACAATCCATTTATCGAAACTCAGTTCCAGTACTGAGTGTGGCACTGTAGGATAAGCAGTGGAATGCCAACCATAGGTCGGCGGTTCAATCCCACTAGTGGCTCCTCAGAAACCTACACAGGGTCGCTATGAGTCAGAACCAACTCAATGGCACTTAACAACAGCAATCACAGACACTCTAGCTAGAAGCAGTTCTTTCCTCCTCTAAATTACCATAACCATTCTTTCTCATACCTACCAAACTAGATGTTGTTAGGTTGATTCCAACTCAGGTGACCTCATGTATTACAGATTAGAACTGAGCTCCTTAAGTAAAGGACCTTGCGCCTGATCAACAGAATAGCATTGATCAACAAAATGGCATTGCAACTACCCCCCAATTGACACTGAATGGGGTCCTGCTTGAGCTTCCGATCTCCCTGGAAGCTTGGGTCTTTGTTACACCTGGAGACACCCTCC